TTCCTACTTACGAAACTCCTCCACGATATTGGTTTCGAAACATGGAAATATCTTTAAATTGTAACTGTGCGAAGCCCCCGTTTATTCGTTGTTCTTGGTATTCCATTAATATTTGTTTTGAACATTTTATTTTACAATCTCATCTCTGTAATCGTTAAAATTGAATGAATAAATCATTAGAAAATAATTTTTAATAGGAAAAGAAGATGGTAAGAAAAGAGAAGATCATTAGAAAATAATTGTTTAATAGGAAAAGAAGATGGTAAGAAAAGAGAAGAAAAATAAAAGGAGTAGAAAAGAAAAGAAAATTGAGAAAATAAAGGAGACTCAACCGGTCCAAAAGTCGGAAACTTTGAACCCCCATAACTATTTCGAAATGGGGTGATTCTTGGTCGAGAGGTAAATTGATTTCTGTTAAAAACTTATTGTACAGTCGTATGAAAAAAGGATGATCTCGGTACTAGCCACACTAGGAAAAAAGCAAAAGCACAAAATTAAAAGATTTATTTCTAACAATATTTTATAGAAATAAATTTCCAACAAAATTTTTTGATCACTTGCACTTTTAATTATTGTTTATTATGAAACTTATTGCCAGTTTCACATGATTGACTATTTTTTTTACTTATTTTTGCCCTTTGTTGATCACCGAGTGCAAACAGCTTGTCTAAAGCCTTGGTTAAGTGCCGCCTAACAATTTTTGCCATTTCGAAATTTTAAAATTTTATAAGAAGGGAATCAGAAAAATAATTCATTTAAAAATTAATTTTTAAAGAGATGTTAAGAAATAAATTTAATTTGTTTTTATTAAATTTAATTCTTATGTATTAAATTCTATTGTTGTACAAGAATCTTCTGAAGAAGAAAATACTGGTTAGTATCCTAGCTTTTTCTAATACGAAACCATAATAATTTTTGTTATAATGAAAAAATATTTTGAGTGAACAAACCCCGTGATAAATATCCATCACCGAATGATGGTTATTGCCTGATGATATTGCTGCCCGATCCAGACCTATAATGAAAAGGAATCTTGAATATTATGGTTATTTTAATATTAATTAATGACACCAGAAACTTTGTGATAAGGCAATTCATTATAATCTTGCGTCATGATTTCAAAGCACAAATAAATATAAGTTTTCAGTTTCATCTTCAAACAATGAAATAAATGGAGCAGATTTGGAAAAAAATTTGAGTAAATCAAATTTTTGGAAAAAGAAAAAATTGGCTCAAATAAACGAATGTCAAAAGAAATTATTTGAAAATGACACAGAAATAAAAAGAAAATTTTATTTAGATCAGAAAACACAAATTTTAATTATTGATAGTTATTTTAAAGAAAATTTGGAATTCAAACAAGCTTATGAACGCTACAAAAAAACTAGAAAATCAAGAAAAGAAATAGTAATGGAGGTATTTTATTTAATAAAACGGTACTATGCGTTTATATCAGGGCTCGGATCGGCAAAATGCCACTCAAAAGTATCAAAATCTTGTAAAAAAAGTACATAGGGAGAAAATTTGCAAATAAAAAGTACACTCCGAATTAAATTATAAAATATTTATTCGTTTTCAAATTTTTCATATTTCCCTCCTAAATGAATCTTTTCTAATAATTTCTTGTTTCCACTGAGCATTTTGTGCATTTCAATGCATGATATGTCAAAATTCGCTGACACAAGGAGTGAAGCACTGACAGTATTAACCTCCATTTTTCAGCGCCGCAGGCGAAAATTTTTTTGAAATTTGGAGGTCCTTAAGCCAGATTTCTTCCATTTTTTGCGCCGCAGGCGAAAATTTTGAGAATTTTGGAGGTCCTTAAGCCAGATTTCTTCGTTTTTTTCAAAAATGTTGATAAAAAAGTACATACTTTCAAAAAAGTACAAATTCAATTTCTTAAGTACGGAGGTCGATAAAAAAGTACAATACTTTTAAAAAAGTACGAATCCGAGCCCTGGTTTATATGCCCACACGTCCGCAAATGTTTGTCCGCACATTTTTCCTTTTCCTTCTCCTTCTTTCTCCTCTCACAAGGAGTAGAAATGGTCAAGCACTAATAACCCCCATTTTCTTTGTCTTCTCCTTCTTTTCTCCTCTCAATTCTTTTCTCGGTTTCTAAGCCATACTTGTTCTTTTTCAACACGGAGAAAAAAGAGCATATAAGTGGAGTGTGCCAAATTCATGACCTATTTTTATTTGACCATTTTAATTGAAATGAGAGGAGAAAAGAAGGAGAAGACAAAGACTATGGGGGTTTATTTATGGTTGACCATTTCTAATCCTTGTGAGAGGAAAAAAGGAGAAGGGAAAGGAAAAAGTGCATTCAAACATTTGCGGACGTGTGGGCATATAAACGCATAGTACCAATAAAACTGATATAACTCAATTTTCTGAGATATTATATCAAGAAAGATTAGATATTATTATGAGATATTATATCAAGGAAGATGAGATATAAGTATTATATCAAGGAACGATTTCTGAAATTAGAGTGTCACATCCCTGTGATACAATGAAAACTAGAAATTTTTTTATATATTTTGCTATAGGGACAAAATACGACATTTATAAAATCTAGAACTCTAATGTAAAATATATCGGACCCGACCTATAAACTTTTTCGAGATTGTATTGAAAAATATTATCAATCACCTTGGTAAATTCGTTTACCAATAATTTTTTAATTATAAATTTAGGAACTGTTTATTCAAGGATTGTGTTTATTATATTTATATGGAAATATATCCATAAAAAATTTAGACTATTATTTTAAACTGAATCATGCAAATTTAATGGCAAAACTGCATGCAAGAAAAATTCATATTTTTATAAAAGGAGGAGGGAGATCGTAAGTTTTTAATTTAATACATATAGCTAGACAAAATAATTAATTCTCAAAAAATATATTTACCAAAATTAAATACATATACCGTATTTACTCGATTAATTCCCCATCCACTATTAATTCCCCATGATAGGGATGAGTTGAAAAAATAATTCCCCACCCTTGAATACCCTACTACACGTTCAAATTTCAAAACTCAAATAATTCCCCACCCTCTATTAATTCCCCATGCCACGGATGGGTTGAAAAAATAATTCCTCGGGGGAATTAATCGAGTAAATACGGTATGCGTGTCCGGTATACCGCCGTTTATTCAAATTTTTAAAAAAAAATACATATATGCGTGTCCGGTATACCGCCGTTTATTCAAATTTTTAAAATGGGAGCCTTACTGACGAAAAGGACCACTGACTAAACTCATCTCTGACGAGAAGGACCTCTGACTAAACTCATCTCTGACGAGAGGTTCATTAAACTGGTTCATTAAAGTTTTTGAGTCCCAGTTATTTTTGGTTAGACAAAATCAGCTACTCTAAAATCGGTAGCTGAAATACAGCTACTTTTAAAACCGATTTGAAGAATCGTTATAAAAATAAGCTTGTGGAATACATTTGACGTATGGCCGTAGGTTCTATTTATCAGAAAAGCTAGGATTTGTCTTGTTGATTTTTGTTTTAGGATCTCTATAGAGCCAATAACAACGTTTAGTAAATGCAAGAAAAATTAAACCAAGTAAATACAAAGAAAAGTAAATAGTTTAAAATTCAGATTAAGTTACAAGGATGTAAATGAAAGAAATAACAAAATTAAACAAATTAAAGAACTAATTGAAACAAAAAGTAATGAAAAATGTGGAGGAATATGGGAATTCAATGGAAATATTCATTTTTCGCCATTAGAAGCAAAACAATTTTACAACAAAATTTTAAATTTGGTAAAAGATGTTGAAGAAAATGTTAAAAATTCAGAAAATATTTTTTTGGAAATGATTTATGGAAATGGATTATATCATAAATTAGTAAATTCTGATGATGTAAAAATTAAAAACCCCCAAAATATTCAAATGTTTATGACTAAATATAGAGGAATCATTTTTGATTTTAAATGGGAATTAATTTGGAGTTTTAATTGTATGTTCTTGCTTCTTAATTAAAAATTCACAAAAAAATTTTTTGATTTTATATATCTTATTGAGGTCCTGTTACGACCCGTGGTAGACTGACGCTTTCACTGGCTTTTATACTAAACACTTTAAGGGCTGACGCCCATACAACAGGTCCAATTAGAATGAAATTTTTATCGAAATCTCCTTCTAACTTTTGTTGCAAAAACATTGTTAGTAAATTCTCAAGGGACGGAGATATATCACGGGGAAGGATTACAACTACACAAAAGCTTCATTATATTTTATACTATTTATATATTTTTAGACAACAATAGTTTTTATGTTCAGAACCCTGAAGAATCCGCTGACAAAATTTGAGATCTTCTATTATTTCGCTTATTACTCGAATTTTTAAAATTAATGATAAAGAAAGATAATTTTCTCAAATTTGTGTATTTAGACACAGAAACTAATTATTTGACGGCAAAAGAGGAAAATATTAAACTAGTTAATAATTTGATTGAATTATTTAAGGAATATAATAAAATACCTGAAGAATTTTACAAATTAAATTTAAATAAAAAATATTCGGAAAATACAAAGAAAATGATAATTAGAAAAGTTGAGGAATTTATAGAAAATTATATTAATGGAAAATTGAATGTTGTTGTCGGACGTTTGGCTTTAAATTAAAGGAATATTTTTGTTAAAAAGATATAAAAAATAAATTTATTTTAAAAATTATTTATTTTATTAATATTTATTATAATTAGATTGACTTTATTTGATTAACTTCTTTTGTGTATTTTAAATAACATTGATAATAAATTTTGTTAATTTTAATAAATAAAAAATAACATTGACAATAATATTATTGTAGTTAGGCATCTAAGAACAAAGTTAATACGCTTCATAAAATTAGGATCCAAGCTACAAAATACCCAGAAATATCTCAATTGAATACTTGTCTTTATTTTTACAAGTATTTACAAACATTAAAGGACTATTTCAGTTTTGAAAATAACTGCCCATATAATTAAAGAAGGATAATAGAAATGTGTACTCCTCGTTTTATTCCCTATGAACAGAGTGGGACGTGTCGTACATGTAAAAGCACAGAAGTTGAAATAGATTTTATTATAGTCAAAGGAGTAGTAAACTATTGCACGCAATTTAAAGAAAGTCGTTTTGTACCATTTGTTTCATTTTTCGATTTACCTGGATATTGTTTTTTCAAAGTAACAAACAAAGAACGGGTCTTAAAGTACCATCCAATGTACTACACAAAATGAGATTCCCATTCCATAGACCGAGCCAACTGCACCACAATTAACCCAAATTTCCACCACAATCCCAGGCTTTCCCGATTTTCGGGAATCGGACAACTCGTTCCCTGTTACCAATACTAGTATGTAAAAGTACCGGATCGATACTTTTGGTATTACTGCGATAGTACCGAACTGTGCCGAACATAAAAATAGATAGCGATTTTTAAACATTCTAAATTCTTATAGTATTTTCGTTTAAATAATTTATACAATGTTAGGACTAAGCCGAGATTTAACGATCTATTTCATAGGAAGAATGACAATGAAAATTTTATTTAATTTTTTTAATTTTAAAAAATAAACATAAAATTTTTTTAATATTTACAATTCAAGCTTGTTGATTATTCAAATTATTTCTATTGTTTCCCTTATCACTTTTGATAAATAATGGCTGGTTTGGAGAAACATTGTTTTTTCGAAATAATTTGCCAAATACTGATTTATATGCATTTCTGTATTCCTTGCTTTAAATTTAAAAAATTATAGAATAAAAAGTTAGTCGTAAAATTAATTGGTACTTTATGGATATGTCACCCCCCCTCCTATTTTGAGTCTCATGGTTTTCCTTAAACGTAGAAAATGGTCAGTGATTATTTTCTTCTCAATGTCAATCATTTTTTTTCTTCTTCAAGCATTTTGCTTCTTTACTTTGCCTTTTCGCATATTTTGTACTTACATTTCACTCATTTCGGTTCTACATCTACTATATTTCACTTATTTTGCTTGAAGAAAGAAAAATGATTGGCATGGAGAAGAAAATAATCTCTGACCATTTTCTACGTTTAAGGAAAACTCTGAGACTCAAAATAGGAGGGGGGGTGACATATCCATAAAGTACCAATTAATTTATATAAATTTATGATTATGGATAAAAATATAGCTTAATTAAATCAGTAAGTTAGTTTCTCCCCTTAGGTAACATTATTTGTTATTGTTTATATGGTATTCAAGTCTGTTTAGAGCCATAATTATATATAAAAATACGAGGATTTGGGCGAGTAGCAGGCTATAAATATTAAATAAAATATTTTTTTATTATACTTGAAAATGATTAAGATTATGGCATTAATTCCAGCTGTTATTATGTAAATATATAATATAATTGAAGTTGCCAAAGTCGTAACATTTTGAATAATTATAGAATTTTGTTGATTAGGTTTTGGAATAAATAAGCTTGTCAAAAAATTGGCAATGGAATATACTTTATCGAATAAAAAATTTCTTCCAATAGAAGAAATTAACCATCCAAAAATAAGAATTAAAGAAATAATTAAAACAGAGCGTAGAATTCGAAAAGAATTTTTGATTTTTGCTTTTATGTCTTAAAATGGCTTTTATAAATTTTTTAATAAAAAAATTTTTTTTCTTCATAAAAATCTTCCAATAAGAATACTATATTAAATTCTTAAAATCTTAAACCTACTCAAATTTTATGCAAATGAACTTATGCGATAAATTTTTATTTATAAAATTATAACCTCCAGCTGGACGATCATTATTCGGAGAAATCTGATTTTTTGACTTAAAAATTTTTTCCCAAAGGACGACCAAATAATTTTACAAAATATTAAAAAATAATTGAAAAGAGAAAGATAAAAAATTATATAGCTGTAAATGCTATTAAATACATCAGAATATAATCCAGAATTACAATAAAGTAAACTGAAAATGTTTAAAAAATGTGATTTAATCTATTATTTACTTATCAAAAGGTGTATTTATTGTTGTTATAATATTAAATTGACAATAAGAAATAATTCCACCAACAAATAAACAAATAACATAAATTATTATATATGAACGAAACATTGTCGAATCAGGAATTACATGCATTCTGTTTAAATAATTTTAGTTAAAATAAAGTTTTAATAATCCATTTGCTCCGAATATACAGAATGTTATTGCACACTTTCATTCCATTATAACTTTTTTCGTAATTTACATTTGTAGTCCAAACAATTCACCTTCAGGAGAATTGCCAAGGTATTGCGAATCTACGCCAAGGTATTGCGAACTTTAGTCTAAAATTTTTTCACGCGCCTTTGACTTTTTATCCACGATAGATATATTTAATTCTCTATCCTATAATCTTTATTTGATCTCATTATCTCTAAAAGCAAAAAAAGTTATGATGGAATAAAAAGTTCAACACTTTATCATGGATAAGGTGGGAACTTCAAAAATTTTTGATTATTCATGTTCCATGTTTAATTCTCTATCATAGAAGGTTTATTTATTTAATTATATGTATTACTTTATCATCTAATAAGATATAAACACCTTAAAGGAAAGAAAACAATTAGCATTCTTTCAAGAGAAAGAAAGAAGATAGCCAAAAAAGAAGAATAAGATCCAATAGTTGATATTAAAGATATCAAAAAACATATTCCATAGTCTATTGTTGTAATACCAAATAGTAAACAAATAAAATTAATAATAAATGGAGTTAGAGCAAATATTTGACAAAACGAATCAAATGGAAGTAATAAATTGGACTGAAATATTTTAGGATATTTGCTAAAAATCAGAAAATCTCAAAAAAATCATGCCTATTTCGCCTTTTTTTCGGATTTTAGTGCCTATTTTAGCTGTTTGATAGTGCCTATATAGGTGCCTATTTTTAAATTTATCCTATTTTTAAATTTATTAAAAAATTTTTTGACAAAAATTTTTTGGAAAAATCTTATATTATACAAAAAAAAATTTTTAGACGAGAATTTTTTCAAAAAATGCCCAAAAATTCACAAATTTTAGTAAAAATATGCAAAATAGGCTGAAAAAAGGCAAAATAGGGCATTTTCCCAGAAAAAGTTAAAATAGGCAATTTTAGGCAATGATAAAATTAGTTAGTAAGCAGATTTAATAAAAATAACGCAATTTGGACGTTTCAGCATCAGGCCTATTTGGGAAAAAAACAGGCATTTGACTAAAAATCCTGTCTCTAATAATCATACTTAGTTACATTATTTTCACTTAATTAAGGTCAACTAATCGTATCAATATATATCCGTTTGCTTTTTAAATATCGTATCCATAAATCCGTTTGTCGGATATCTACAGACTTTCTGATTGTATCTAATAGATAGTATTACTTTTAATTTTTTAAAAGAGACAATTATTAAGCTGCTATTTAATAATATAGAAATTAATGCAAAAATAGCAGTAATAATAATATAAAGAATGTTTGCACTCCATACTCCCATATTACGGTAATTTAGAATAAGATTGTTGTATTGAGGAGTCTGAAATTAGAAAAGTTTAATTTATACATTAAATTAGCTTACAGATATATAATTTAAATAATATTTATATGAACATTCAGCAACAATTAATTGGTGATTAATATTTGAAAAAATAAAATCAAAAATTGTTTTATTATTTAATCGATCTAATAAATCGAATTTAGGTGTTAAATTATTAGAATCGAGTTTAGACGGCGTTATGTTTAAATAATTGCAAATATCTCCATTTTGTAAATATGTTGATATTGATGCAGATAAATTATTAGAAATATTCATTTTAATTAAGTTTTATATGGTATAGGATTCTAAAATAATACATATAAAAAATTTGGTACTATCGCATTATATGCAAGCATTTTATTTTTAATTTATTTCTATAAAAACATTCAACTAATGGAGAATGCTCTTACATGATAAGAACAAATAAAAAGTCAACAGTCATGAAAAAGTTACAACAATTAATATATTTTTCAATTAATAATTTGTTTTAACTTTTATATAAATATAAATTGTAATAAAAAAAAGTTTTGATAATTTATTTTTATTTTCTCCTCAAAAAAATTAAAAAGCAACAAACATGCCAGAAAATCCGCATTTGAGGAAAAATATATTTAAAAAATAATATATGCAACAAGTTACTAGCTTCCAAGATTAAACCATTACTCATTTACAGGCATTGAACCAATGCCCATAAACCAATGTTCAAGAACTAATGCCCCCCAACAGCGTATAATGCGATACTATTTCATAAATCTTAAAGTTGTTTAAACCAATGCTCATAAACCAATGTTCATGAACTAATGCCCCCCCTCCCCGCATAAAATTTTAATAGCATTTCACAATCTTAAAGTTGTTCTCGTTTTTTACTTTTATATTTTAAATGTAATAAATATTAAGTCTGTCTTTAATAAAAATGAAAAATTGTTAAATAATGTGAAAAAATTGTTTACAATTATTAACAGTTTATTTTCCCACCATTTACAAAAAAAATTATTAAATACACTATTCCGCCTTAAAATTCTTCCAGGTAAATGTCAAACAAATTAATTAATTTTTTTGAGAGTATCAGTCATCATGAATTGAACTTATAGTTGCCATGACACGGGATAACATGATAAACTTTATTTCGAATTCACACGATACGTAAGTGCTATAAGAAACCTTGTGATATAAATGTGTAACTTCATCACTATTTTTCTCAATATTTATTGTTCCACGCAATAAAATAATAATTTTTTTAATTATATAGTAGCATGGGATAAAAATATTAGATTCTGGCATGGGTTTGTTAATTTAAAAACGTAAATTATGTTACATAATAAAAACCCTGAGGATAATGAAACACCTGAGGAATTTTACAAATTAAAATAAAATAAAAATTATTCGGAAACTATAAATAAAATGCAAACAAGAAAAGTTGAAAAAATTATAGAAAATTATATTCATGGACAATTGAATGGATAGTTTTTAGGCTCATAATTTTCTTCAGTTAATTTTTATCTATTATTAATAAAATAGATGAATTCGAGCTCTTGGCCTTCAAAAATATCAAAAATTTCACTTGCGGAAATTTTTGATATTAAAATCTACTATATTAAAATTTTTTAAAATAATTCGCCAGTTTCTCTCTTTCATCATCGTGGGAGAAATAGGCCCGAAATAATAAGTTTATAGGTTCGGTTATCAAGAATAATTATTTTAATCTTTGGTTTTGGAGTGAAA